ATCCAATTAAAAAATTTAAATGACTTGATCGAATAGCATGATGAAGTTGTATAGGCTTTGGATGCAGCTAAATGAAATTTCGAAGGAAAAAAATATTTTAACATTTTATTATAATATATTACAATTGCAAGCCTATCCTTTCGTGCAGTATTGGCGAAGAGTGCTTTATAAGAACTCAATTATGTCGATTTAATAATATGATTAATTTAATAAAATTGTAAATTGTGTTCGTTTGATTGCCATAACCATGGATGAATAGTATTATCTCGATCAATAATCACGTTTTCAAGAAATAGATAGGACATTATTGATTGACTGAAATAAGAATCAATGCGTATATTTGAAGGAAACTACAAAATTACATCCATTTTTTTGCATAGTGTCTGCTCTAATCGATGGCTTTATTTTAATATATATATATATACTTCTAGGGTTCAATATATTGTTGATAGCGGCTATCTCTGGCAACTGGTAATAAATAGACGAATACCAGAGTCTCGATGATTATGTAACTCCTCCTAAATTACCATCTTCAAATATGAACTAAATAAATTTGTTGTCTAACTAGTTAGTAATTAGCTAGTTTCTGAATTATGCTATATTATACTCATCAGCCTGCTAAGATCTTATATATTCTGAAGGCATTGTAAATAGCTGCTGACCTGCTATCATTGATACCGCTGGTCCCATTTTCTATCTTGATGCAAAATCCAAACTAGATTACTGCAATACCTCTCTCTTAAATTAGTACGAAGCCTTAAATACATATAGTTTTTACTTATTAATAAGGATATTTTTGACCAAACTATAACTTGACGACCTCATTCTCTATCTCATCAGTGACTCCATGTATTTCGAAGATAATTAAAAAGAAATAAGCTTCCGCGATGCTAATCAATTGCCCAACGACTAGTATAGCTGCTGACAGGATAATAATACTATTAATCCCGTTTATCGTCCTCGGCTAAGTGGGAATCTGAGTGTAAAGCTACCTCACACATCAATAGTGCAATGTTTTCTAAGAAACAGCCTAAATCCGAGAAATCCATTGAGTAACGTGCCTATTCATGAAATGATTTTATGGTAAAGTAGATTCAAATAAATAATACCGTACAATAATGCAGCCTAAATCAATCAATCATTATTCCTTGTTTGTCAAAGAATTTTAGAAAATTCTCTGCACTTTAAGCAATAAAAGTTTTGAATAATATAGCTGCCGAAATGGTGATAAACATGTTTACTGTATTTATTATTCTCAATGAAACAAGAAACAGATGGCATGTCTATCAGTAACTCCTTGTATACTACTGTATAAATAAAAATCTGTTATTACTACATTAACTAGATTAACTTTTGATTTGCTTTATTCTAGTATCTACGTTATCTTACTATAATCAATAGACGAAATGAATTAAACTTTTAAAGAGAATCACTAATTGTGTCCGGCTAATATTGTATTCAATACAATTTAGTGCAAATCAACGTCATCTATTTGACGTTATAGATGGATATTCCAAAAGATAAATCAATTATTTTATCACTTTTATTAAATTGATATTGAATATCTACTCAATTCTATCCACGTTGATTTATTTATTCTTTTGATGATCTAGGTAAAATATCTAAATAGCAGTAGTAGATAACATTCTCTCTTTATATCATTTGGACCAGAACAATTTAACTGATTTAATAATTTAGCATAAAAGAAATCACGTTATTATTTGTCTAGTTATTGACATAGTAGGTAAAATACAACAGAAATTTCCTATAGTAATTATGATGGCTGATTACTAACTTGTCTTTTAATCTTCTGACTGGGAACTGCCAATTGATAGTTCTTAAGCGTCATGTCCAAGATTATAGCCTTTAAAATGGTCTAGATTTCAGTTTGCTGGTTATGTTATCAACAATTAGCCTCAGTCTTAGAGTTTTGTTTTAGTAGATAACCTAAAGAAACCGATAAAATCAAAATGATGAAGATAATTTCAATCAATATTCAATTAATTAATTGATAATTTAATGCTGCAAGATTGCAAACTTTAGTGCTTGCTTGTATATGCGAGAGTATTAAGTCATACTGTTAACTAGAGTAGCAGTAACAAAATGATCAACTATCCTTCTATTACTGTATTCAGGAATTTAGCTTACTCTAATAAGCGTATGCACGAGCTATTACAAACTTACTTCCTCTAAGATGTTATTCATCTTGAAAACAGGGTCTATGGCTTCATTACACAGCAGGGTACCATGTTCATTCTGCCAAAATAGGCAGTTTAGATTTTAATCTAAACATTAGCAAATGAGATAAATATCTTTACCAGCTAGTTTGCTTTTAGCGCGATAATTTCTCTAATAAAATTGGGAGATTGATACAACTACTAAGGCTAGTCCTTGAACCTTATTACACTTCCAAATTCATTAATAACTTTATTAAGATTGATTTTAAGTCGTCTGCGATACTGTAATACATTAAAGTATCAATTTTAATTCATTTTATAGGCAGAAGGTTGTCTAAATAGTTAAATATTCATGGGTAGTAACAGCGGCAAGTGAATATTTTTCGTAGATATAAAGTAATTTTAGTAATGATTTGCTTTTGGCGGGCTCACCTAATTGAGGACCAACTTGTTGATGTCTATAGCGTTATTTCCGATTGCGTATAGAATCAACTTACCTAGTAATGACTTGTGATATACGGCAAAGATACTAAAACAATCTACGTTAGAGGGATTATCATGTATGACTAGTTAAAAGTATAGAAGGCTTTCAGTTTTATCTGAAATTCATGAACTTCGGCATCAGTTAACTAGATTTTTAAAATTTTATTTCTATAGTCCGTTACTGTAGCCTACAGAAATATTTGCCTTATTCTGACTCTAGTCCTCGGTTTGATTACGCTTCATATCTCGAAATATAAACGCTTATAAAGGTACTTTCTGTATAATGTAAGGAAATTTAGACGTCGATTGATCATATGTAGCGAATAAATTGTGATATATACTAGATAACGTGATAAATATTTTCATATGGCTCCATTTTTAAATTCAAATTGCATTTTCCTTTTCTATGTTACCCTCTTATACTGGCATACATTGCAGCATTCTGATAACAATTTCTTACTGAATGCACTCGCATAAAGCAATTATTGCGAGTTGCATGTAGATCATCTAAATTTTTTCTACCTTACGTCATTGTTTATCTTATAGAATACCTGCCAATATCCTTTTCGTACTACATGCTAGTCGAATACACACAGAACAAATGTATATCTATAAACTCAATTAGTTTGATAATAGTATTCCAAATGTAACGACAATATCTGTCTCATTTTAAACTTCGTTCTGATTATGCATAATCTTATATAGCCTAAAACCACAATTTTATCAAAAATGACTGTCAACTAACTCTTACACAAACAGTGTCAGTTCCTCATGCAATTTGCATAATGTGGAATGAGATCTCATCAGCCTCGTGTTTGAAAGAATTGATCATTGTAAGAGTTTTACGATTTACAGTCAATAAGACCATCTGCATACCGTTTCACCTTGAGTAGTAAGGATACATATAAATATCACCTAATCTTTGAACACTGATTGCTCATCAACTTTGTAAATCGGCAGTTGTAAGCTCAATAGGATAACTTACTGATACGTACAGTAGGACAGTAAAAATTAAAATTTACAGTAAAGTATTAGCATAATTATCGACATTTGATACTTATCCAGGTAGACAGATAGATAGATAGATTAATAAATAGGCAGACTGATATATACCAGGTAAGCAGACAGATATACAGATTGACTATTTGTCAGGATAGAGCTAATGATATTTACTGCTTCGAGCTCAGCAGTCATTTACAAGACAAATAAATAGAAGGATCATGCGCATGTTCAATTATGTTACCATGGTGATCGAAGTTTCTCTGGCGAAGGAAAGCCTACAGTTAGACTAGCTGTGCTGCAACGTATCATTCCGCTTGTTTTATATAGAAGCAGCCAAAATTTGCATTAATTTGCTCATGAATAAATCTTTATATATTGCTTTGCATCATTATAGTCTTTTTGTAGCGTTATTAGAGAAATAGCAAGTACATTAACGATCTTTATACGCCTATTAACTAAAGTCACGGTTGATTCTTGATTTGATTACCATTGCACGTTAACAGTGGTTGTAATCGGCGAATGGTAAATCTATCCTCAGTTGACTAAAGTATTTCTTCGTTAGTTCATTTCGAATAAAGTTGAAAATATCCACAGAAGGTAAATTAAATGACTACTTGATATCTTATCTTGATTTATTTTAGATTTTAGTAACAGATAAAACGATCAAAATTACTATCCTAATTACTATAGACACAGATCATCCGTAATAGGTACTGTAGTAAGAACAAGCTGACTTTGATAATGATTGATAAATTTTATTAGTAGAACAAGATTTAAAAAGTTATCATAAGTGAATTTGCCGTATTATTCTGATTCTTTTCTACTTTAAAGTAATACTAAGCTGAGCAATCCAATTCTTCATCAACTCTTCATTTTACACAACTAACAACAGTACTAATGGGTAACCGAATTGAAATTGTTGTCGTACTTTCAATCAAATTTAGGAACTACTTCATCTACGTACTCTGATTTTATTATCACTTTAAGATTTTGAAGCCATAAGTGTGATCAGCCAACTAATGAAATAATACAAATACTCTGTCTCTAGATATACGCTATACGTAATAATCTGTTGATACTATAGGTTATCATACCAATGTTACATAAAAACTGTTAAGAAATTCTAACTTTCTTAGTCGAAAGCCTCGATACCGATCCCTAATACTTGTACCTTCTGTTTAGATACATTCAAGATCGATGTTTGCCACATCTTCGCCACAATAAATTAAATTGATTAGCTAGAATGATAATAAATACTTGGGATTTAAGCAAATAGTGTTAGTAATTGCAAGACAAATTATTCAGTAGCCTTTGGTAGTTACCATTAAAAAGGAAACCATGCAAGGCAACGAAGGCATTATTGAAGGAGCTAGAGTTGAACTTTTATGGTTTGATGGATCGATTGTTAATGGAATAATAAAGTATACTGGCCCATTAGTTAGCATGATTGGAGAATGGATTGGAGTTCAGCTTGATAGGCCTAGTAAGTCTTTTGTTATCATCGAAAGTGACTAAAGTAAACTTATTTTGAACACTTACTACCAAATTTTTATATCGATTTTAAAGTCGGTAGACATAATGGATTATTTAAGGGCCGCCAATATTTTACTTGTCCACATCGTTATGGAGTATTTACACGCCCTGAAAATATTCGATTAAAACAATTCATTGGAAGGACAAGGTAACTTAGGCCTTAAGAACTGAAGTTTAGCCTTTGTAAGTTACTAACTATGTCAATTTGTGTTTTGGTTTGTAGCACGTTGCGTAACCCTTCTGCTAAGCATAAAATACAGCAATCATTTGCGGATGAAAATCTGTTTATGCAATACGAAGGTAAATTATACTTTACGGGGATTGACAGTAACATATACATTCCGTGAATATTTCACATACGAAAACGGTCGTAGGTTCAATTTATAAACCTGAAAATTCGCCTACGATCTTAAACCACGCTGTTAAGGAACATTGATGCCCATTTTATTATAGTATATTGTGGAAATTAGATATTAGCAGTTGGCGTATTTTATCGTTTGAAATAAATATGCAACTGTATAACTGATTATTGGAACTATCTGTTAATCTTAATTTTAGTTGATGATAGGCCTGATTATCTTCGATACAAAATTGCTAAACCAACAGGTTTGTATACTGTATATTCACATTGGAAGGAATTAGTGATAGCCATGTAATTCATGTAATTTAATTCTCCTATTAATTTTATCAAAATAATTTCAGGTTTCGTAAATTCGGTATATGTTAGCGAGTCGTTATTTGATATAAGACAGAATGAAGAGATTTTTACTCCTTCAAGGCGATATAACCGCAATCATGTAATTAGCAAAACTTGGAAGCCCAAGGCAGCCAAAAGCGATCGCCAAGAACGGTTAATTGATTTAAATTTTGAAGGTAGTTTTACGCCTACTGCTTCTATACCGCGAGTTCGTAGCCCTACACGGAGTTTAAATAGAACATGGTGATAGAGAAGTATATCATGCTATGCAATTCATTTTTTAAATGGTATCATACTAAGTTTTATTCCATAGCCAATATTTTGTCAATATTCTTTTTTCGGTTCTAGTACAGCAAATCATAGGAAGGTCATCCGTATTTTTATAAATTTGTAAACTACTCTTGAATGTAGATATTATCGCAGATAGTGGATTATAAAAACATGTCTAGTCAGAAATCATACAAGACTGCTACTGCGATCGAAATTAAATCAGTAAAACTATAAGAATTCGAAAACAGTCCACCAGCTTTCAAATGCAATGCTGATAAGCTGGTTAATAACAAGAATAGTAACTAAAGATTGTATTATATCATGAACTTGTAAGGATAGTTACATATGTCTTAATTTCTACTCAAAATAAAGCTATAGAAACGAAATTTATAAAATGATGGTATTTGTCATTATTCTAGTTTCATCGTGAATAAGCAATATGTGATATAAAGAGGACAATTTAATATATGTAAACGATTTACTATACTATTACATTTTCTGGGTTTGTATTGCCGGCTAAATCTAATATCCTTCATGGTGTAACGCCATAAAACAATACTTCTAAATAATCTTTTCTTTGTTAACTTAGGCTGCATTCAAGGCTGATATAAAGGAAAGTTAGCATGTACATTAGATGAGAAGAATAATATTACGGTTGTGTCATCATCATGTGGTCGGTTGTTATTCCGGTTTACAAAATAAGCTCATATCAGTTTCTGTTATCTACAGTAATAAAGTCGAGTAATGCAAAAATCTCTAGCTTTAGAGGATACCAATCTATTAACGTCCGCTAATAATCGAATTATCATTACTCATTAACAATCTGACTAATTTAGCGACGTCAGAAACTACTAGAAATGATCGACACTCTTTTTTCCGCAATGATCACACAACAACGATTTTACCAATCTTTGTAAATCGACTATTGTCCGGAATTGTTTTCACCTTTCGTGGCAATAAGCTGTGATATGTAAGAGGTTAGCAAATCATCCATTTTATACCCCTAAAATAAATTTTATATAAGGTGTAAGATGTCAATAAATGATTGATTAACAAATACGAATGCAGACACTGATGTTTACAAGTATTTACCAAATGGGTTTCACACAGTAACTTCATTCCATTAACGGAATCACCAATCGTCATGTGAAAGTATGCATTTCCGCTACTCCAGCTGGATATCTTGGTGAATGGATACTGTGTAATGATTTTCTGGTAAAGACAAATTTTATAATAATTAAAATGGAGCTATTAAAGTTTCATGAACCTAACATGACCAACCTTATTGATTGGATTTATAAAGAATACGCCACCCTTGTTGATTGCAATTAATAAATTTTCAGGCAGCTCTTGTCCAGTTGTTTGCTAAAATAATAAGAGTAGATCAGATTATTTGTAACAACTTCTATACAAATTAAATAGAAAACTACCTTGATATCGAAAAAGGCGGATCCAAAAGTAGCCCATTTTTCAACCTCTTGCAAAAATGCAATTTTGGCATCATGTTTAGTCATTCCTCGACCACTAGTATAAGATTCAGTTATCGCCTGATAGATTATAAACATTTAGTTTTAAAATATTGCACCTTCCAATGTGATAGTACTTAGAATTCTTAATAAAGTCAATTTATTAAAACAACATGATAATCCGTCACTATTACAACATGAATAATTCCAGTACTAATAATCGACTACGTAGTTTTGCTTTAAAATAATCAAACTAACTTGTTCCCATTCTTCTGCTGATAAATTACCAATAGCATCGTAAGGAACCAAGTCGCGTAATAACCTCCTGATATGTTCAATAAATTAATCATTCGTTGAGTTTCATAATTCTGTGCACCTTGTCTCTAGTGACAATATTTACTGTACGAAAAGATTCTTACTGAATATTGTTCAGTTCAGAATTATCATCGCCATGCTTTACACGATATTGTAAAGCTGCCAATCGGATTGCATCTTCTTTGGCGCACTTATGATATCCTCGAAGATATTTCGGTAATTCCTAACACAGTCATAGTTTCGATATTACTTTGGAAAAGAATGATAATTTATTAAATTACGATTAACTTCTTCCAACCTACCTGATGATAGTGAAATATTAAATCTGCATTTCTATCAGCTCCAACGACAACATCAGACCATAACTTTCTCATAAAGTACAGCTGATATGCAAGTTCACCTGGACTTTTATCTTCAGCAGTTAAATAAAAATCTTTAGTGTAAGGCTAATATAGTAAAGAAGTTTTATTTCACGAAATCTTACCTTCTTTCCCTCGTATATTGGCCTTTACCCATTCAGAGACATGACGTATAAAATCAAACAAGTAATCTCCTTCTGGTATGCTAACAACTGATATTTTAATCCACAATTCAGTAATCAATAAGTAAATTATGCAAATTAAACGCAATGCTTATCTTACATTTATCAGCCATTCTTACAAACAAGCTGAAGCCATTGCCGGACGTAAGCTGCATACGAGCAATGATAGCCTGACATAAATCTCTTGCCTTTATGGATGAGCTAATATCGAACGCGTGATAGCTTTCATCAGGGAAGTAAATTTTATGCATTAACTTGATTGTCTTTTGCTACGGAAAAATTGATAGCGTTAGGTAGAATTACAATTGAGAACAATATCCCAATGTGATTTCACAAGAAACCTGGATAGCTTGTACTTCCACAACATGTGGCGGATATTTACGAGGTCCACTTCTAGATGTTGCAAAAACATAAGGCGCGTTGATTAATTTGCTAGATATCATAACGACTGATTTAAAATTTAATTTTACAGCAATAAAGTTGATAAATAACCTAGTAGAGGAACAGAAATTATTACAACGTACCTGAGGAGCTTTCTCAATCTAGATATACAATCTTGGGCTATGGGATTGTTAACCTTACGGGACACCAAAAAAGTATTAACTTCCCTCACTAGAGAATTCCTGTAGTTATTTTAGCAAAATGAGAAACGTAGTAAAATTAGCTTTTCTGCAGTAATCAATTACGACCATTATATGTACTGATATACGAATGTAGGAGTATCTTACGTTGGCAAGAGGCAACCGGTACATAGCCAAAATAGTTCCCACCCTCTTTCTTCACTTTGACTAAAATTTAATGAGATTGTTTTCATAACAATTATTATAAAGATATGGCCATCAATTATATATTATCAATCCTTACCGAAATTCATATAATTTTACATAAGCACCGTCCTAACCTTATCTTATTCTCAGTTAACTGTTTCATAATTTGACAATAGACTTCATCGCAAAGTACTTTCTGTAGTATAATTAAGGTAGCGTAAGCCGTTAGAAATTATTAACGCGACCACATTAAGGTTATTTTACATGGAAAAAGTTTGACCTGTAGAATAGCGGGCTCAAATATGGCATCTGTAAGTTCAGTATTGTGTCTTGACTTCTTAGAAGGGTAGTCTCCCATATACTTCATAATAGCTAAAATATATACGTGTATGTTAGCAATGTGAAATGCATTAAATGAAAAGACTACTGAAAGTGTTTTTGTATCTCCAGGGTGACTGGGTATCCTGATCGATATACCCAGCATAAAATCATTAAAGCTTTCAATTATAATTGATTTGGTATGTTTACTAACCTAAGAAAATTCTAACAGCATCAGAACACAACTCATCCTGTTCAATCAAATTTTTCAGTAATGGATGTTTTATTGGCTCCTGTGATAGTGATAATTATAATTAAAACAGGTAAATGAAGTGTACTCTTTTTTCAATTCGTTTCAGCTTATTACAAAACTATAAATTTTATATATACCCGAGAGCAAATCCAACTTCTGTCTTTTTCTTTTCTCCTAAATCCTGACCTTGATATAGTTTTTTGCATAGATTTTTTGTAAGGTGTAAAATTTTCCTGCGCGTAAGATTCCAGTGTATATGTTTCACTTCCATCGTAGCTACTTTCATCGACCCTGTTAGGATCCAGTCCACCATTTAAATTCTTTCGATAAACTTGGGATCCATAATTAGCTAGAGCTTCCTAAATTTACAAACGTAATGTAATTTGATCAAAATAATTGGTAGTAATAGGAAAATAAATGTCGCTTCCTTAGTGATAATGTATTATTGAGAGAATCCCATGATCACTAGATTTCTGTAGCAGAACAATGTTCAAAATCATTAATACCAACCACGATATCATCTGGAGGTTTAACGAGAGTAGGGATTTGATATACACATTCTGCAGGAAAATCACCGGAACGGCCAGTACGGAGACAATTTCCGTGTTTCCAACCAACATGGGATGAAATATCTTTTACTAGATCCGATAGCTTGATTAAGTCTCCTTTCTTAAAACTAAGTACTGAAGATCCGTCGCCTATAATTACAGTTTTAAAATTAAGAGCCAGCTGTTAAAATATGATTCATGATAATTGTAAACTATTATTAGAATAACATAAAATAAAAAATATAACGTTACTGTACTCTCTACAATAATAAATAGCTTACTTGGATTACTATAATCCATAATTGCTACAACATATTTCGATCTTTGGCGTAGACCATCAAGAAAGCCACCAACTAAATTCTTTATATCCTCACCATTGGTTGATGTAAACATGTACTCGTCGCCTTTTATCGTCGTAAACGAGAAACTGCTGCCATGCTTTGAACTACTCCTATGTGCAGCAATTATAGCAATAGTTAGTTTAGCATATTTATAGTTGGCGGTTATTATCGTACTTACATGGTACTCGTAACATTTGCTAACTCTGGATATGAACATTCCGCTAGAAGTCTTTCGTATTCATCGACAATATATATTCCAGTCCAGTTTACAGCAATAATAACTTCATTTTTTGGTAGACTTGGTCCAGAAAATTTAAAAGCCTCGTAAAATCGAGAGAAAAATAATGGCCATCTATTCATTGCAAAGTTAACTAAGCCTTCCTTAACTTGCTGTCTCTCAATTCTGTTTTGTGTGTAGTATGCCTTTCATAAATAAATATACCAGAAATATCAGTTTAGGGTCAGGATTTGGTTTTACTTCTTACAGTACGTAGAAAATTGGCAAAATGAGTTAGAGATCCTAAATTACCTTTTTAAAAGAATTTGAAACCATCATTGCCCACTTATCGATTACTTTCGATTGCTTAGTTCCTTGCAACGAAGATTTTGGAATATAATTATCCAACATTTCGCACAATTTATCTTTCTTTAGATGTCCTCCATACTCAATATAATATTGCTGAGCAGCAATTTCAGCTAATTCTTCATCCTATTGAAACATATAAAAGCACAGGTTAAGAGAAACAATGGAGAACATAATCTGGTCAGTAGCTTTTAAATACACGGCGTATTACGATAAATATCCAGAAATGAAGTCTATCTCACAAACCTTGTCACATTTGTATTCTCCATGTTGAACTCCGCGAATGATCTGATAATATATAAGATTGGTACTAACTGGATCATTAGTACCGTTTTGCCAAGGCGCGAATATTTCCTTACGAAAGAACATACGCCAAGGAGTATGGCGTTCAGGATATCCTTGCTCTCTAGCGTATACTTCACACTGAGCAACTGCATCCATAACGTGGTCATCTCCACTCCCTAAACAGGATACCTATTGTGAATTGCAACATCAATTACCATTAATTTCGAATTTTGATTTTGTAACATATTTCACTTTACAATTTTTAACTTTAGCAGTACTAGTTACTTTATCATGTAATGCAATATATAAAGAAAAGCCGAATGTTTCTTTCATAGATTTCTTTTGAGCAAGTTGTGCACATAATTCTTTTGCCGTGGTTGCTGAATCGGCCGTTGCTGTTGTATTAGTTCCATCCATGAAGGTTAATGGAATATTGATCGGCTCTTTTAATTTTGTAGCCTATAATACACGTATAAGGAATCTGTATTACATTTTGACGTAGATTGCAACATAAAATTGGAGGGTTATCAAAATAATCTATAGAGGCAATGCTGTCACCTGTAATTCTAACCAACAAGGAGGCTGCTGTCGTGCACCATTTGCATACGTTCGGTTCAGACGTTCTTCGCAGTAAGGAGCGTATCCAGCTGGGCCTTCACGGATGAAACACACCAAATATTTTTCCAACTAATAAATACATATCGTTATTAGTCCTTACAGACACTTTAAAGCTACAATGATTTTTATTGATTACAACATGTCCTAAAGCTAACTTTACTACTAGGAGTAAAACATCCCAAACACAATGACATCAATATCCATCCACGCGCATAACTTGATTTTAAATGATTCTCGGTAAGTTGCTTGCATAGTTGGCAATAAATCTCATCTCTACAATGTAGGTTTTTAGTTCGCGTCAGTATCTTGCAAATATAAAATCTGACGGTTGCTAAAAGTTATTAATTTAGGCAATACCGAAGATCCTTTCTTTGAATACCATGGCCTATGATAAATCGTATTTTCTCTAGATTGGTGGTATGCTTTTGCAAAAAACCTGCAGCCTCTTTTATAGTGGCATCTAGTTCTTCCTCTTTACCCTGCTTTGTTATGCTACTGATTTCAGTCTGGTATTGTTAAATATTAAAGAATGGAAGAAAGTGATTAAGAACTTAATTATTAATTGTAATATATCATAATTGAGCATGCAATGCGTTTATACCCTATGTTTGCTCTTCTTTCTTTGAGATATTGAGAAATATTTTAAAACCGATTTACCATAACTACCCTAAATGTAAAGCAAAACATGGAAGTTATAACCTGGCGCATTACCGATATCCGAAAATTGCAAGTATTTCGCTATAATTCAACTACAATACGAAATTTAAATGTTAGGGCATAATTTTTATCTCTATCTATCATCTTAAATTAAGGTAACAACAGCTTCAGTACTCATACACGTGTAGGATGCATAATTAGTATTACCGAACGACCACTTTTAACAGAGTCACCGCTTTGAGATTCAAAAAATTTCTTATGCTTTGAGGCTTTACGTCCTATTGTCTTGTTATACAGTTTATGAATTATAGATAAGGAAGCTTCAGGGGCATCCGTGTCGTCAATTTGCTGTTGAGGCTAATAATTCAAAAGGGTAAAGAAAATTTCGGCATTAACATTCATCACTATAAAGTAGCAAGTAAAACATTATTGCACATACCTGCAACGGTGATGGCTGAGCTGCGGCTTTTGGCTCTGGAAGGTCTCCCATGAATCTTAATATTGCAATCCATATCGACAAGGCAATCTTAAGAAAATAGTGGTACTGTTAGGACGTCATGCAGAGTTTGCATTTTTAAATTGCTCAAGTAAGCAAATAAAGTCATTGAAAATATATATGCATATGTATTGTTAGAATTTCGCAATCGTTGCTGCAGTTATTTATTTAGTTAACGACATTGCAGGATAATGTTCTACTTACGGCTCTATCTTGTTCATTTACTAAGTCGAGTAATGGCCGCTTGATAGGCTTTCGCAGAATGACACCGGTAGCATCGCCGACAAAGTAAGTAGCCGCAAACTTTGAAAACTGGTAGTTTGAAATATTATCTTCCATCTAGCAACAGTCAAAAATTATTTTGTAATAAATCAACTACAGTTCCGTGGCATGTAACACTGGCAATCTTGTGCAAGACACTGTCATAATATTGCAGCATAGTAATCAATTCAAATAAGAGTACATACAGTTGTGGAGCTGCTTTTTCTAATGCTATTTCGAACATCTTTAGTAGTTTCGGACAAATCCTATATATAAAAAAAGCAGTATTACATGCGGATTAGATATGCAAAATAGTTTCAGCTTCATTGTTACGGCGATATTAAATCATAAAATGAAAAATGAACCGGTGTAGATTCAGTTTTCTCATCATCAGGTGGAAGGAAGTCAAACATTTGATCCACCTAATTGATTATTTAAATGCAATTAATTAATTCGTATTCAAATAAGTGGTAATAATAACAGGTTACAGTTATAGAAGTATATTGGTAAGTTAGTTCGAACCACTTGTGAATGATCAACTTCTTCATCTGCTTTACTCTTAGCTAGTTCTATTCTAATTTGTTTCTCTTGAAATTCCCGACGTTCTCTTTCTTCATTATCTTGTTTTGCTTTCTCAATTTCTTGAAGGCGTTGCTAATGTAAAAGAATATCCATATTATAAGATTAGGTTACTGATAAAGTCACAATATATTCAGCTACAATTGTTGAGATAGTAAAATATTTTGCATTTTATTACTGTCAGCGTTTTCAGCTATAGAATGGCTAAGATACGATACAACAAGGCTGACATTAAGATGGTCACATTGCATAGAAAGATGCTTTCAAAATAGATTTTTTTTTCGTAACTTTACAGATGCAAACCTGTTGAAGCACTTCCGCTTGTTTACGAGCTTTTTCCTTGTCCATTTTTTTGGCGAGTTTCTTTTCCTCTGAAATTCGTATTTGTTCAATCTCTTCACGTCGTCGTTTCTGGAATCGATTAAATGCTGTTTCAGCAAACGATTACAAAATATAAAAGTATAAATTCTGCATACTTGTTCAATAGCCTGGCGATATAATTTCCTTGCAATCATCATTCTAATCATAGATTGAATCCTTATAACACTAGCTTTTTTTATTTTGAAATCTTGCCTAACAAGATAACCTCTCAGGTGAGGCTGTGAGAAAAAGTATACGTATGAGAAAATAATGTGTATCAATTAACTAATCATCAATTTATAGCTGATAGGCAAGACGTAATATCACTTTGATTTTATTTCATGTACCTGTAACCGACAAATAATATTTCTCTTTGCCTTATAGTCATTTGCTATTCGGTTGCTTGTTATGATAGCCTGTAGTCGAGTAAAGCCAGTACTCATCTAAAACAGAATATTATCATATTAATTAAATTCTCCGACGATATTTATCGTTAATCAAGTTATAAAGTAGTCCAGTTTAGCAATGATCTAAATGAAATATACACATGTACTTTAATATATTTCTCTCTTGTAGTCTTAGCCTTCCAATTTTTTTGAATAACTATAACTGCATTTCTCAGTTCTATGTAGCTACTACGACACAGGTAGCCGCGATAAGTTTTCTGGATAGTTATCACAGATTTGTGTAAAGATTCTTCACGGGCCTTTTCTAATGATTCTTGAACATTATCTTTCAAGAATAATTTTGTTTTTCCCAATTGATAGCCAGACTTTACATTTATTTTAGCCATAATACGGGATGAAGCATCCTTTGCACTTTTTATTTTGTTAATGTGGGGAAGCTTGGAATCGAGTATGCCATAACGTTTGATAAAGTCTGTATACAAGTGTCTAACTGGATATCCAGCGACACGAATTTTAATTGTCTCCATCATTCCAGAATATCTAAGCTGTCGAGTGCAAACTAATCTATCAAATACTTTTGGTTGCTTCCCATTGTTCGGTTTTATACATCTTATAAACATGGGCTGACAATCGCCTAATGTTCTCAATAAAGAGTCGAGTGATTTCTTAAACTGAATACCAACAGTTAATGGCATTTTACGTGATTCTTGTGCCAGATCTTTCTCGAATAGTTCTCGTAACAGCACTAAGCCACTCGATTTTACGACCTCTAATAAATCACCACCAAATGTGTCACGATTCTTTTCCAACATTTCTATAGATCAGAAAATATTTTAGAATAGTTAATGACATCATGTTGAGTATGGCATTATTTCAAGACTTGCATCTATCCATTATGCGAACGCAATCAAAATTATTTCAGTATTAATGTTGCTGTACCTCTACTCTGATATTTCACTACACCAGCGTAATGGCGGATTCCAAAGTTAGCCTCCATTTGAGATTTAGGCTTCACGTAAGCTGAGTTCTTAGCGTGATGTTGATGTAACTTTGATAGCATTGTACTATCTGTACCCTAGAGTAAACCATAGAGACATTTTCAATAGGATAGCTATTCGATTAAAGTTACAAGTTATAAACGCATAAATCAGTTGTAGATAAGCTAGTGTATTGGCATTCTTACTCTGGGAAAACGACTTTCTTCATCAATAATCGATATAATGTTCATTTGTTTATAGGCAATCATATCAAGAATGTTTTGATTATCTGTGAATTTAATTCCCTGCCAATTTATGCCTTCTTTCGTATATTCTGACTGTATCATTAGAGATGACAATTTAATGACATTGAAAACTCTTATATATCATAAATTATCAGGTAGTTTTACCTGCTCAAGCTTAAAAATATATTTTACAAAATATTGCTGTAGGCTTTCATTCGCAAAGTTGATACACAATTGTTCGAAGCTGAGGTAGACAGAGAAGGAATTATAGTGATAAAGAAATACATCTTTTGCACCCTAGTGTGTAATACTTTGATCACAAACCTATTAGTTTCGAGTTTTTCAAATCCGAATATATCAAGAACTCCGATAGAAGTGCGATGATGCGCTTTATTAGTCTATGTAAGGATTGAAAGGCGAGCTTTTCATTAAGAGCAGCTATACAATACTTGCAGTTATGCTTCTTTGGAATTGAGACACATGTGCTCGTATACATCGTACAAATTGCTATGTATTCTTACCAAAAATTTATAGATAGAATGATTGATTTTATTGACAATCCAAACGAATAATCTGCTATAAATTCCTTTGGCCAACGCATCTCTGATATTGATAGCTTTTGATAACTCAACCGGTGAATATATTTTTTCTCCTCCCGTGAGGGTGGTTCTATTAGTTAACACTTCCGATAAATCACTGGCCCTAACCTTTATCAAATGAAAAATAGAGCATGAAATTTTTAAATATTAGCAATGTTTCTTTAGCAACATGATCTACAGTGTAAAATGCATAATTAAAATAAAGTTAATTGTTCAATAGTAAAAATTTGGTTAAGATAGAAAATTAGCTTGATAACCTGAAACAGAGTTGATGCCATCTTTACTTGTTTGGGATTACTGACTTCGCAGGCTTCTAAATGTTCAATAATCATTTCTAATATAGTAAATAACATATTACAATTAGTTGGGAATGAAACTTAAGGAGATTATTTTATTTTATGTATTGTTAATTCAACATTACAAGCATTTATAAATTGCCTGAGAATTGAATGTTTCCTAGATTAAGAATCCCAGATAGAACTTGGAATATAGATTTAATTTCGTCGGTATTAAAATTTAAGACCTAAACAGTGGTCAATACAATGAGAGCATGAAGTTAGTACTAGAGCCTTTACTCTGTATTAATGATTTTAACAACATTAAAAAATGTACCAATCATTTCATAGAATGTACCTCCATTGCATTATTGATATGATTAAATAGTTCTTTTTCATCTCCATCTTGACAAATAGTGCAATTACCCTAAAAGTAAAACGAGGGTTAAAGCGGTCAGCTACTGATACCGTAGTACTAAAGTGAGAATAATATCTTTTTAAGCAGCAGCAACATCCTTTCGTTCACAGATACTGGACGAATGTTTACCCTAGTAAGATAATAATAATCTGTCGCTTTTGTAAGTTGAAGCCTCGCTTTTTCGCTACTTGGAAGGCCAGCAAGCATTCGATAAAAGATATGATAGTTCCGTTCATCCTTCATCTAAAATAATCAATATAGAAATATTTAATTATTTTAATATTTGACTAAGCCTATAGCGAGCTAAAATACCCCTGTAATGTAGTCTGTATATTGCTATTCCAGAGATAAAGCACTTAAATTGATGTATGTGTATATGAGCAGAGAGTGCTTATTTATGCCATGAGAACCCTTGATATAAGCTTTTACCTGATTTACAATCCTTGATTTTTCCAGTAGATATTGCTCAACATGAGCACCTTCGATTATTCCGTAATCGTTGAAATTTATTTCGGTGTACTTTCCGAAACGACTTGAGTTATCGTTACGAATAGTTTTAGCATTACCAAATGCTATACAAAGATTGGAAAGGGTAATTTAATAAGTACAAGCAATGACATAGATCACTTCATACATAACTGCAAATGATCATGGTTACCTTCAAGGATTGGATTTGCTTCTAAAATTTGCTGTTCGACGGAAGAATTTTTACCACTAATAGTAGCCAAATATTGCAGAACCAACTTTGCAGACTCTGTCTTGCCAGCTCCAGATTCGCCGCTAATGCAGGTCAATATTATATTATTAATTGCAATCAATACGGTGAATTGCGATTTACAAATAACGTACGAAGTTAATTTCATCAATAAGGAATTGAAAGTAATTTTACCTGATAATTAAGCACTGATCGGCATGTTCTATTTTCATTGTATTATAAACATGATTAGTCACAGCATAGATATGTGGAGGTAAATCTCCAAAAGGTTGATCTTGATATTTTTGGATATATTCGGCAGTGTAAATAGATTGTGGTTCATACGGATTGACGGCAACAAGAATAGTTCCAATATAGGTCTAGGACGATACAATAAACAAGACCATCAGTTGTGTAAGCACATGCACGGTCAATTTCTTTGTCTTGGTAAGAGATACAGGTACAGAAGAAAGATAGCGGATTTATCCATTTTCTATCTGATCTAATTATTAACTATCACCTAGTATAGTGTAGCTTTACGCTAATTCACTAGATTTGACATACTGTCAATTTTCTTTCACAAATTTTATGCTCTATCATACAACATGATAGATACTTACATAGATATCATTGTTATCGAATCTTAATTGAAGATTATGCAATATACTAGACTCTTGCAGGTCGTCTAGATTAACCTATATGCCAATGATAATAAATTTAGTCACCATTAAGTTTAATAAGCATTTTCTATTGCGTTATCTACAATAACATGCAATCAATCTAATAGATGATACAACAGTCTTACAGCATCAAGTCTGATGATACAAATCTGCCTTAAAATCGAAATTAAATTCTAAGTCTGCCTATGTAATTTAATAATATACTTACCATATCCTCAACACCCTGAATACTAGTTGGGTGCATAATCTTAATAACTTTGTCGGATTTGGCTTTCGATACAGGATGTTCCTATTGATAACATTGGCAGTCAAATAGCTTCAACGATATGATATTGAAATACCCTTAGTATAACCGCTTTCCTTGCACATTTATGTTAGATTAAAGATTAAGAATTACAAGTTTGTCACTCTAGCTAGTTGAAGATGAACTATCTAGCGCCTTTGTTTCAATTTAACTATTGTATATTGGGCTCTGATGTGATCAATAATTTGATTGAATGATGAAATAGTGGAAGTTTTGATTTTAATATGCAGTCTTGGCATACTAGTAGTAGTTAGTACTCGTGGTCGGAAAAGTAATCAATTCTAACATTGCCCACCAAAGTTGACAATTTATAAAACTGTGCACCAACCTAGTGAAGATTACTTCCTGTTTGTAAACAACTCTTTTGTACTATTACAGTAGAGTAGTTGGTGAAGTAGAAAGAATTCTTAAATAAAGACATTGCCAATGACAATTTGGAAGTAAAATATGTGAGAGTACTACTTGCTACTGCTTATCCTAGACGTCTAATACTGCAATAAAAAGATCCAAATGCGCTGATGGACCTGAATGTATTACAATTGTTCAACTATTTAGTATTCTAGACTATACTTCAGTAGTTAATTAAGTAGCAAATTTGAATATAATTGAAGCACTTCATATTTGATAGACAATAGTGTAATAATAATCTGTTCAAATTTCGCAACTTTCTTTCAAATTTCTATATCTAAAATAACAAACTGTGAAAAAAATTATAGCTTAACCTAAACTGCATTCATGATCAATAACAGCAATATCGTATAATCCCATTTTTTTTGTAAATTACTATATAACAAAGCGTTGGTGTTGAGTATGTGGATCAATATCTCATTACTTAAAGTATGGACTATTTTCTTATGTACTAAACATCAAAAGTGACAAAATAGATGTCAAAGTCAACAGAAAGCGTTGTCGACATTGCACAAAACAAAATGTAATTGTATCTCTATATAACACAGAATAAAATGCTACCATATCGCCTGTCAAATTAGATTTTTGGTTGACAAATTAACAGTCTGTCATAGGCGTATAATATTGAGTAAGTAAGATTCAGTAACATTGATTAATGTCTTCTAGAATATTGTTCAATCGAATACTATTACAAACACATGAAAATGGAAGAAGATTAAACAATGCTACTTGGATATTTTTAATATCTTAAAGGCAAAATCCTTAACGCTAGTAATCGATCATGGATGTAAAATGGTAGAAATGGATGCAAGCTAAGGAACGATTTTAACACTAAATACTTCAGAAAGGGACACAAGATGGCTAAAAGCATAACGATTTACCAAATAATATTTCTGCAATAGATGCAAGCTAGCTAAAAGCCTAGCCATTTTTTCTAGGCTACACTAAGCATCATTTCAACGTGATAAATCAGAAAATGGATAAGAATTTGTTGTAGTAGTTACATCCAAAGTAATCACTCATGGTAAGAAATATCATCAAGGCTGGAGATAGTTTACAATGTGCATGAAGATGGATTACTATTTGTAGGATTTGTGCAACGGCTATTTTCATGATGCAGAAGAGTCGATTAAGTTAAAGCTCGATGGTTTTACATTTAAATTTACTTTTATGTGAAGTAGTACTATCATGATTAGATAGATTAGAAATAGATATGATGAATGTTAAGGTTAACTATTTTATCCTTCCAGCATGTAAAGAAACTGGCGTTTCTTTTCCATTACCAGCGATCGGATATCGGTTAGCAATTGTTAAAAAGACTAATTCAATATTCTATGCTAAAAACATGCCACTAATCGGATTTTATTCTCCAGAATCTTTAATAATCGCAACGAACGTTAACTAAGGCAAAAGCTAAGGATATGATTCCGAAACTACGTCATATGAAATCAGTTTTACTTTCCATCATCGATAATCGTAACTTTAATTCCTTTAAGGACCAACTATTTTATCAGTACAGCCATTCAAATGAGTTTGATTTTCACTTGTCTAATCTAGCATAATCTAGCATAAGTACAGTTATAACTAATTCATGAGTTAAATAAAGATCACCTCTTCTTGTCTACTTCAATTGAGCCTATATCTCTTTTCTATCATCCTGTAAAATGCTAACTCATGTCAGGCTACACTTTTAGCATTTCATCCTTCATTCAATATATTTGATTCCTTTCCATTAAAGTAAACTCCAGATCAACTCATTTTATATTCGTGAACTATGGAAATAAACTGGTTTTGCTATACCATCATTATAGATAGACACATGCGTTGGCTATCCCTTAACCGTAAGTAATATCAAGACCTACTCGTTTCGTATCTTTATAACATCGAAATGAACTGGTTTAACTTTATCATCATGATTCATAACGTTCATTCATGCCATGGCTACAATCTGTATTTTATCCTCCAGTAAAATATGGTAGGCAGTTGATTTCTCCTTGCATTATCATAGCATAACGTTAAGTTATATCAAGGCTACATGTTGTATTTTTTCTCCAAAATGAATTCAAATTCAAATATGGCATTGAGTTGATTTTCCTCTCTCCTGATCATTGCATAATGTAAACTTATGTCAAGGTTACATTTGCTTTTTTTACCTTCATGAATCAATTCCAATCAAAATACGGTATTGAGTTGATCATTATCTTTCCTTAGCATTACTGAACGTTAATTTACGTCAAGGCTACATTTTGTATTGATCCTGGGTTGATTATTACCTTCTATTCTATCATTATCATTACCTAGCATTAACTTAATTTAAGACTATAATTTGTATTTTTATCCTTAATTGATTCTATAATCCAAATAGGGCATTGAGTTGATTTTCTTCTTTCCTTATTATTTCATTACATTAACTTACATCAAGACTGCGCCTTGCATTGATCCTTAACGACTTAAGCTGCAAAATCTTGAATTGATTTCCCCTTCCATTATCATTGTATACCGTAAACTTATGTCAAAACTATAATTGATAAATTAATTAATTATCATTTCATGTACGGCATTGAGTGGATTTTCTTCTTTCATTACGTTTATCAAGACTATATTTTGCATTGATCCCTTAACGACTTAAACTACAATCTTGAGTTGATTTCCCCTTCCATTATCATTGCATACCGTAAACTTATGTCAAGACTGTATTTGATATTTTATCCTGGATTAATGATCATTTGAAGAACGGCATGAAGTGGATTCTTCCCCTTTCCTTGTTACTACACAACGTCAACTTGTGTCAAAAGTAATGTTGTATTTTATCTTTAATTAATGACAATTAAATAGGACACTATGTTGATTTTTTTCTTCCATTATCCTTCTATAACGTTCATTTATGTCAAGGCACTATTGTATATTTTGTCCTTAACTGCTTCAAGTAGAAACTAATTTTCCCTTCTGTTACCGTGCTATAACATTAACGTTTGTTAAAGCTACATTCTCTATTTTGTCCTTAGTCAATTGAAGTACGATATTGAGTTGATTTTCTCAATCTATGATCATCCATCACCACAATGGAAGTTAACCAACATCAAGAGTAAATAGCTTATTCTTTCCATCATGTAAATAAGTTCACTCTCTACAACATAATATAAGCGTCATCGAACCCTAACCCTATCAAATTAAACACTCTTCTCTATCCAATTGAGCAATCAAACCATGTTACCTTTCCATCGTCGTCGATAACTACAATTTCTCCTTTCTCAGAAAAGGTTACTACACCAGCGATGGGCAAATCGAATTCGCCACCTTTTTGCTGATCCAACCAAACGTGGTCTCCCTACAAGAGAGGAGAAGAAAGAGGAAAATATTTTGTTACAGTATGGCAATGGCAAAACATGTTTTCAATCTATATCCTCCTTTCCATCCACCACACGGCAATGGATACATATCAAGAAAAAAGTGAAGGGATGACTAAGCTATGGCCGTCATCATCTGCTTTTTTTCAATCGATGATTCTTAGCCAAGCCATGACAATCCAATATATTCAATCATGATGCTTTACCTTGGCAACGATGACCATCTTGATCGAGGTTGGCTATCTTCAACACTTGGGATAAAGTGAAAATTCTCCTAGTCAAATTGTTTTCTACCGCATGCAATCAATTGATATCACTAATAAGAAAAAGGGGAAAGAAAGAAATACCCATCAAAATGAATAGAATAACCATGGCATCCATAGACCAAAAGAAATAGTCAATACAAACAAAAGCTATTCAATAACATCTCCTTAATGCCTATTGATTGCTGCCAAGTGTTGGTTCTATCTCATTATAACATGGAGAAACTGTTGGCTAAAAGATCTTTTCCCTTGATATCCATTCAATGATGAAAGCAATCTTAACCAGATGGTATTGTTCACTGATGGATGCTCAATCTATTTTTGGCTAGTTGGGGGGAATTTTGAATGGATAAGTTACACAACATACGGATGCCTTGCGAATGATGAGGATTGTTAAAGCTCACGACATTGCTGTCGATAGCTGGATTTCCCTTGAGGAATGGGATGATACTGTTGATGGATTGATAGTGAATTCATTTTGGGCTCGTTGGGAAAATGAATAGTCGTTATTGGAAAACTGAAATTTCATGGCATGATGATGATGAAGAATGTTAAGGCTATCGACATGGCTGTCGTGTTTGGATTTTCCCTTGAGGAATAAAGTAGGGGCAAAATGATACGGCCAATTCATGCATATTCAGTCCATGTTTTGGCTTGTTGGAAAATTTCACTGGATATGTTATGAATGCGTGACTAAATGATAGAGTAGATCCATTGGATCAGGATATTTGAATGGCTGATGATGAGGAGTGTTGACATATTTCAAGGGCATCGATATTGCTGTAATATTTTAGCGGTTGGGATCAACGAGTTAGGATAGAGAAGCTGATTGAGAAAATTCCATGACGGATAGTTTCCATCTATCATCAGATTTCGAATAGTAGCGAGGTTATTTTTAAATCAAATTGTCTTAAAGTCTACTAGCATGGAAGTACCGTGGAAGAGTATACAGTAGTTTACTCAAATCACAAGAAAGTGGGCATGCAAAGCTACAAGGTACTTGGATTGAAAAGAAACTTGAGCAATCCATCTCTACTGTCGAAGAGCGCTAATTCTTCAATTGTTGAAGGCAAACCGAATAATTCACTCTCTTGCCAATTCGATGGCAAGCAACTATAGCAGTGACTAAAAAATAGCTCGGAAATGGAATAGAAAGCGCTTTTGCAATCACGGTCTAATATGGAGGATCATGAAACAATTCAATCAATCACACATTGTAACCAAATGAAAGCAGTTTTAAATGAAAATCAAATAGGCAAGCAATCAAAGGTCGAACTTTGAAAAGGCTAATGTCAATGGGATACGCTCAAGAGAGGTAAAAAGAATCAATAAAATGAAAGAGGAAGAGAATCAACTCGACAACAAATTGAAAGTAAAGAAAAAAAGCCTTCCATCAATGTCTGCAAGTAGCTGCCATGTCGATCGAATTGATCCATCAGAAATTTCTTCAGGGACAATATCGAGTTAATGGATCATTCAAAATACACGACAAAGTAGTTGAAAAAGGCATTCTTTAAGCAAAAGGAAAAAAGGAGAGAATGGATAATACACCTAATTATTCATTCATTAGATATTAAATAATTTTCAACTCAGTATTATGCCATTGAAATCATCACCGACACCGCCTGTGAACGTAGGAAATGGCTTAAGTATCGCCGTTCAAAGAAACAAGATGCAAGAGAAAGTATCATTTTAATGACTACGACGTAGTTTATTCAACTTGAATGAAAACAGGAAATATCCAAATGGGTTACCACAGTATCATTATTCAAAGAAACAAAAATGGAAGAGAAAGTACTTCTTCAATGACAGTAGAGAACTTTAGTAAATGCTAGGAAATATCCAAATGGAATGCCAAAAGTCGTGTCATGTTCATTCAAGAAATAAGAAGGGAGAGAGGATATTTCTGAACTCTCAATGAAGGTATTAGTCAACGGTCTATTTATCTTTAGTGAATGCAAGAACGATTCAAATTTAATGTCAAAGTCGAATCACATTGAAGAAAGAAGATGGAAGAGAAAGTATTTGGTCGATTGAAGTTCAACGAATGCAGGAAAGATGCAAATTCAATATCAAAATGGAGTCGATTTAATTCAAGAGAAAGTGTTTCGTCAATTAAAGTTCAACGAATGCGAGAAAGATGCAAATTCAATGTCAAAATAGTGTCGATTTAATTCAAGAAAAAGCATTTGGTCAATTGAAGTTCAACGAATACAGGAAAGATGCAAATTCAATGCCAAAATAGAGTCGTTTTAATTCAAGAAATGGGATTCGTGCAAGAGAAAATAATAGTTCAACTACAGTATGTCCACCCGGTGAACTTCAGACAATGTAGGAAATATCCAAATTCTATATGAAAATGGTGTCGTATTAATTCAAGAAACAGTATTGGCGGAAGAGAAAATACTTATTCCATTGCAACACTACTACGCTAAGCAGTTCGTTGAACTTCAATGGATGCAAGAAAAATGGAAATTCAGTGTCAAAAATAGTATCGTATTGATGAAATAAAGAAAGAAATAGAAAAGATGGAAGAGAAAAATGAACTGCTTAAATTACAGTACTACTACACAGTCAATTGAACTTGAAGGAATGTAAGAAAAATGCAAATTTAATGTCAGTGTACTGCCGTATTAAAGAAACAAAATGGAAGAGAAAGAAGAAGATGAAAAAGAAGTCGCGTCATGAATCTATTTTAGTCTGTTGATGAAAGCAACTTTGAGTGATTGCTTTGCAAAGCCATTACACTCCTCACAGACAAGGGCTTAATCCATTTGCTATCGTACAGTATCGTTGATCATTGCAATCCATCACGAGTAGTGGAAGCAATACCAATGGAAAAAAAACATTTTTAATTCGAAAGCAAACGATATTAAAAAGGAATGAAAGCATAAAAAGCCAATCTATCGACATGCTATGATACTGATGGAGAGCTATTTGTCTCTCTTCCTGTTCAGTAAAATAGAATCTTTGTCTAGTATCGATGGCTTGGGAATGTAAACGACAACACTAGCATAATGGTCTTCTCCACACTCGGAGGATGATGAACAACGCCTAAACTCAATAATGCAATCATGGCTACTATCTCTTCTTTTCTAACAGTTCAACATGGTCTAGTTATGGAGAAAGCTACAACATTAAACTATCGCCATTTGCACCTTACCCTACCACTGTAGTAAGCCACTATAAGAGCACAACTTCTGGATAAGAGAATGATGATCAAGCTGGGGAATAATCCATCGCCAAGCTATCCTTTACAATGTCGTTGACTAGTAATGATGTAAAATAACGATGACTAATGGAAAAATAATTTATCATGATGATTCAAGACATGCAATATGGGAATAAAAAGGTGGTAAGGAAGAGAATGCAACCACTTTCATCAGCTCAGCCCCCATCGAAGAATTGAAACTGTAAGCCAATAGCTATGGATTGCAACAGTTAATATTTGCCTAATAAAATGGCTACTCGACTGGATAGAGAATCGAATGTTTTATCCCTTGTCTACTACTCTACCAGTCGAAATGATACAATAAGCAGCATTTCTCTTAGCATTCTTTATTGACATACCGTCCTCAGACGAGTAATTTAAGCCAAGTTTACAGCCTAGTAGGTAAGTAAAAATCCATTGTCGAAAAGGATGATGATCTCATTCCTACCTGGTGGGATTGGTGCATCAGTTAGGCCACTCCATTTATCAACTCTACAATTATCTCCATCGAGGCCTTTACAAATGGTAGAAATCCACTAAATGACACACTAGTAAATCCTAGCCTATTCAATCACTTCCCTCAGGGTCTAAATCAATAAACCATCTTGTAATTGAATAACGGGTGTGGTAAACCGTATGGTTAAGTCTTATTTGTCTATTTTACTTCCTTATTGATTAGATCAGCATGCTCTTCAATGTCATGATGATGATGATGATGAACGAAGATTGATATACAAGAAGGGTTAAAATCAATAACAAGGTAAGTTTTCATTGACTGGCTAGCATGAGCAAACATTGCTGATTCAATTAGGTTTCCGAAGTCATTTCTTACAGTGTAGTTGAATTCCAGAAATAAATGTACATTGGACGAGAAGAATTGCAGCTTAAATAAACCGTTGCTGACTACTCCGAACCTGGACACTCAAATACTGTAGGCAGTTTGATTGTTTAATAGGGCCTTCTCAGAGTAATTAGGCTGTGCGTTGAATTCAAAAATGATTCGGGTAGAATCAATGGAAGCGTAAATAAACCGTGGCTGAATTAGCACCAATATCAACGTCTATTGAATGTTTATTACTACTATTCAACCAGGCTTCCTAAGTAATCAATTCCATTTGCTTGCAGTATAGGAATGAGCTCAGGATGGAATGAATTTGAAATCATTCGATTGGAATATTGCAAGCGTAAAGAAATGCTTGTTGACTAAGCTACTACCACACACATTGGGTATTCAATTAGGCCCTCCCAAGCAGTATATTCCACTCACTAGCTTATTCTATGGAAAAGGGCTGCGTGTCGAAATGAAAAATCACTTAGGGTAGAATAATATGGGCCCAAACAATTACCGACTAATAACTTGAATATTGGACAACCTCTTGGGTATTTAATCAGGCCTCTCAAGTAATTGATTACACTAGCTTGTACAAGGTACAGTAGTATGGAAAAAGGGCTCTAAGCTGAATTGAAAAATAATGCGACAAGAATATTTATAAGCAGCAACAAATCGCTGCTGACAAAGCAACCCGAATACATATTGGGTATTGGGTATTCAATCAAGACTCGTTCAAGTAATTTGTTGCAACAGCCGGTTGTGTATATTAGTCAAAAATTCGACTAAAACATAGAGGTAATAGCAATAACTATAAGAAGACAAAGACTAGTAGAAACTCGGGAGTTTCTACTAGTTCATGCTGAAGGACATGAACAAACATGCTGTATTCTATCATGAAGGGTAATTGTCTGAGCAGTA